GCGACTCGCTTGTCTGCGCGACTCGCTTATTAACCACGTTATATTAAGGAACTAAACTTATTAATTTATAGCGATACCCCAGTATCTCTGCAGCTTAGCTAACTGATATTGCACGGAATCCATTTATGCGAGCTTTCGAAGAAGCATCCGCATCGCAATGTGACTTAGTATCTTGGATGCGTCGTGAGCGGTGACCGCATCAGGAATCTGTGTTTCGTCAAATGCAAGTTGACTCTTGGGAAGAGATTGCAAGCCGCCACGCCCTTCGACAAAGATCTCTGTCTCGAATGAATCGAAAATGCGATCCGTTATTTACATTCTTTGAGCATTGTTCACAACGACAGCAATCTGACGAATATCATGATTGACGATATGGATCAACCCATTGTTATTGATCTTGACTCTTCTCAACGAGAAGGACAAAACTTAGCACCAAAGCGGGTACCCGTGGCTGGTTATCGAAGGGTCAGAATACGCATTGTTCGTGAATGATCTTTGATTAGTCTCGAGAGGGTTCAAGAATAAATATCTGCTTCTTACATTGTGTAGTTCGCGAAATTCAAGAAGATATTATATAATATAATAGACTTAATAATAATACTATCTGCCTTTAAATAAGATCAATATAGTTATAACTATAGTAAAATTATTATATAGAATTATTAGTATATATCTTTAGTAGTTATTATATATAATTATAATTTTAATATACTACTTATACTAAGTAGCCTATCTAATACCTCTATAATGGTAATTCGACGGAAGACTAGAGTGCTTAAAGAAGAATTTTAGCTTTTTTATTAGGGTTATACTTATACTATATCTATAAATACTTGAACCTAGATATAAGACCCCTTTTTCTATTAGCATGAATAAAAATATAAGTAGCTAGCAATATATTTCAGTATATAATACTACTTTACTCTAGCTCTTTTTGTATTAGGTTTAAGTCAATATTGGCCCCAGGTTGGTGCACGTTGATCGGGCAGTCTCTACTGTCCATTACCGCCACCGCCACCACCCAACCCCCCACCCCCCCCTCCCCTCCTCCTCCTCCTCCTCCTCCTCCTCCTTCTCTTCCTCTTCTTCTTCTTCTTCCATAGCAATAGGAGGCCAATACACCCTACTGCTAAAGTGCGCGTCCACGAAGCATTGTCGCATCTATAAAAGGAAGCATTCACCATTCCATTACTAACTACCTCTCTTTCTGATTTCCATCACACTTGATAGATATCACGCTCTGTTGCATTCACCCCGTGTTTCCTCCGTGAAGTAACAACGACTTTTCGGCACCAGCCCTGTGAGCGTTTGACTCGACGGTTCATTCGAGAAGCCATGTCCGACGCATTTGAATTGCAAGCGCACTTCGAAGAAGACGTGACAAGCGAACAAGCGCGTCTTGATCTTCAGAATCCCTCGTCAAATCAGTTCGAATTCTTCGGCAAGGACTGCCACCCAGATTTGAGCGCCGACGAAAACTTCCATCGATTTTATGCGAGAAACAACCATTCGGAATCTGAAGCGACTCGACAGAATTTCATGCAACAAAACCAGGTTGCACTGTGAGTGACCCTGTGAGCGAATTAACTATGCTAGGATCGAGGTCAAGGCGGCGTTATATAAAATGAACGATACTATGTGCTACATATAGGCAACCGATAGCAAATGAATAGGAGACGGCCGAGCACCCCGAACCGGAGTCAGACTCGAGCCCGCTGCCCCGAACATTTGATGTTCACGAGAATATAAGCGCCGCCAATCGCGTTCAGTCTTGGATGACTGTCGTACGGAGTACGAAGGAGCTGAGAAGGTAGGCACACTGCGCAATGCAGTAAGAGCGAAAAAAGAAAGGGGCAGCTAGGTAGGTCAGTGGCCATTTCTACGTGTCAAGAAATGAACCACTTAGAGCTCTCGCCTAAGAAAGGCGATGGTCTTCTACCTAGCTCGGCGGATTCCCGCTTAGGTCAACGCGATAGCTTACGAGACCTGCCTGATTGTTTACTGCAAACCCTCAAATTACTAATAATGCCCATCCGCGTACAGCCTTGGTTGTGACTTCCCATGTGACTCTGCCATAGAAGGTGGCCCATCCTCAATGGGCACAGGCCTCCACACAGCTGGCACCCCTGATGAGCCAACTATTGATCCTTCACGGATACAATACGATCCCGGAGAGAACTTCAACGGACTACTCCTGGCAGAGAATGTCGAATCTCTCCAGGCCAATGAATTTTGCCTGCCAGAGTCAATTCGCGTCTCGCCTCTCGAGGCTCTTGATATTGCGGGCGTGGCTGCTGTTGATTCGCGTAATGCGCCAGCCCATACGTACCCTCATATAATCGCTCCCGGCTACTGTCGGAAAGTGCAGCAGTAGGTGCTTCTACATGTCTTGAAGACAAACGCAGTACGCTAATGTGTATATAGAGCTGAGCTGATTGAACGGATAAGATCGACCTTAGGTCGGTGGGAGCACCCCGAGCGCGGCTACGGCTACTTCCAGTGCAAAATTTGCCTGACAGCCTGTTCTACAAAGAGCAACCTTAAGCGTCATTTTCTTAAATCCGAGAAGTGCATCGAGAGATGGGAGAGCATGGATATAGCTACACAGATGTCATTCGACCCTTTGGCTGGACGGGTTGATACGCTGGGATAAAGAGAAAGTGCTGTTGATACGGATTTGCGTCGATGGTCTCAGTTCCCCAAACACCCAACAGCGATACGAGCACAGTGATCCGGAATGATGTTACGTCTCAATGCAGTGGTGGATGGGCTTTTAGGAAAGCCTGTTTGGACTAGTGATGGTGATCGTGTACCACAGACCAAGCCAGGGTGCGGCTGTGACGATCGCAGCAACGAGACTAGTTCCACAGTTACGAGGGTCATGGTGAAGGTCTTTACGGGCTTTGGTGGTCAAGCTCAGCTACAGGCCAATTACTCACTGGCCGCTTAGAATTATTTTCAGTCAATAAGAATTCTTGTGTTGGAACACTTGTCGCATAATGGTACCAGGAAAGAAGACAGAATGTGACGTGCAGAGTACAAATAAACTAAGGGCGGCCTAAATTTTCACTGACGGCTGCCCAAGGCATCTCATGTTAATAAGGACTTGGCTTGGTAGTGCTGCTCTCAGCAATCGGGGTCTCTAGCTATCCAGCGGCGACGACCTAATAAGCGATATAAGCCTCAAATGCCTGCCTGCAGGTCAACCGGTTTTAGTGCTAGCCACTGTCGATCACGAGCCCTGAAGGCAGCGGCTAGCTCAGGCGTAGTCAGGAGAAAAGCTTTTGTAGGTCAAAATACGGTAAAAAGTGTTAGAAGAATGTAACCTAATAATAGATGTATTATAATGCTCATCTAGAAATCTACCTACATCTCCTCGCAACAGTGTATTTTCAGCAGACTAACGGTATAAGCCTGTGGGAGACTAACGACAATGTTCGCGCCTCTGCCCTGTACTCCAACAATTACCACTGCTACATTCGTCAAGCGTAGCACACGTCCTGAGCCCGCCTTGACTCTGTCCGACTACAAATCAAGTGCCACAAGTGGCAGAGTTGGACATTCTGCATTTTCTTACACTCTTGCTTGATATACGTCTTGGTGCGTGGCGGCAGCAACGTTGACAGCGCATGATCTAACTGGTGCACAACAACGAACGTACCATTAGAAAGTGGCTATGAACATTGCAGCCACCTAACAGCATACTCCAATCGCTTCACAACAGTCAGAGGTTCTATTTGTTTCATTGGTAGCGCAATTGTATTTGAGAATTGGGCAGCGAGAGATGGCTCAGCTGCATGACATTGTATGCTGTCACATTTGTGGTCTGATGCAGACATGCATAACCCTCACTTGGGCCAACCCTTTTTAACTGCTCCCTCTCCTGCTTTCTCTGATTGTTTTGTACTACTTGTCTTCAAACTGCAGCGCTGTTCTCAATACAATGTGGGACTACTCTCAGATAACATTCGCACTTTCCTCCCCCTCGCGGCTGCGGCTAGAACGCGCTGTGGTGGAAATGAACCAACCTCCAACAGATGTGGAATCTATCCGAAGACGACGTGAAAGTCTACCTGCTGCCAAGGCCGTCTCCTGGGACGACACTAGGGTCACCGTGCATTGTCCCTTCTGCAATGGAACCCACAACCATGGTAACGCGCCTTTTCTACGACATCCGGACGGCCAATTTGTCCAAGACGACTGCGGCCGCTACACATATGTTCAGCCGCGCCCCGAAAGGCGCAACCCACGACTCTCTCACTGTCCAGCAAGAGAGGAATATGTCATTGTGTTTCCCTTTGAAGAGGATGAGCGGGTCTCGGGATTGTCGTTTGAGCTGCGTCAGAAGTTTGGTATCAATTCAGAATTGCAAGAAGAAAATTTCTGTACTGTTGGTCTTCCAAACCTAGCTGCACACGATGAAGAGCAGAGCTCCGGCGGCGAGGATGAGCTTGATGATCTTGAACAGGAGTTGCAGTCTGCTACCCTCGATGACGGCGACTATAAAGTGGTGACAAGGTTCCAGCTTGAGGGTTACCCCAACGAATTTGAACAGCCCGCTTCGGAATTAATCATGTCTGCAGCTTGCATCGGGGATATCAAGCATATAGACGAGCTATTGAGCAACTCACCGAACCCACACGCGCTTCTTCGAATACGAGACGAGAAAGGCTTGTCGTTATTACACCTAGCCGTCCCAAACGGGCACCAAGACGCAGTGAGGTATCTGATTGCTAGAGGCAGTGATACGAACGTGGTAGACAACAAAGGACGAACCCCTCTCATGGAAGCCGCTCTCTGGGGACATCCCGTGCTGGTGGAAATGTTGCTCGAGGCTGGCGCCGACAAGAACAAAAAGGATAAGCGAGGAATGACTGCAGGCCGTCTCGCGGAAGAGTCTGACTGTAATGAAAAAGAAAGACACAAACGAGCTCTCAAATATGCCGAAGACCCATTCACTAAGAAGAAAGACCGGACTCTTATACGTGGCCTGCTTCAACACCCCCCTCCAACACCATCCTCACCTTCAGTATCCACCGCGGACCTCCAAGACGCCTACTTTCACAAATCCCTCAACGCCGGGACCATATCGCTCGTCCTACCCACAAAGGGTATCGAAATTATCCGCCCGCAAAAAACAGCCGCGATTCTAATCCGCGGCGCACCGTTTCCTCTCGTCGCCGCAGTCAGCGGCCGCACTGGCTCCCGCGGCAACGAGTTTCGGGCGCCCGAAGCCGGATTCCAGATGTTGGACGAGGGTTATTGGGGTGCCTCTGAGAATTTTGTCGTGGCCAAGGAACTAGGTTTTACATTTTCGGAAGACCGCCGCGACGGCGCTGAGAGACCCGGAAGCTTTTACGCGTCACATGCCGAGGCGCAGCTCATGTGCTTTTTTGTCAAGAGAAATTACCTATTTCGGCCGCTAGAAGAAGAAGAAGAAGAAGAAGAAGACGAAGACGAAAGAATGGGAGTGCAAGTCGATTTTCTGCAGTTGTTCTTGCTGCAGCCGAGGAACAAGTCGGCCAAGATTGTCGTCAGCCAGACGCCGTGCTTTTCATGCGCAGCGCTAAGGGATTGCATTTGGCGGAAGCTGGGGATTGAATTCATGATTGAGACCCTACCTGTGAAGTGATTTCAGATTTTCGAGTGTAGGAAGAATTAAGAGCAATCGATGACATGGAAATAACTATGCAAGGTCCAGCAAATACCCTGAATAATCACTCCCCTAATATAACGCGTATATGTAAGACGTTTCTCTCGGTATTAAATGTGAGCCTCGACCCTTTAATACATCTTATAACTAGGCCTTCCTTTCTTGCTCTATTACCATTGCTTTGAGATTACACGGAAACATACCTACCCTAGCTTGCTATTGACGCGTAGCACCCCTTTAATATACTTCTCACTTTACTTCGTTACTCATGGCAAATTGCAAATTTTGGAGGCGAGTTTAACCGAATCCTGCATCCGTGTGAGGGTGGACCGCCGTATAACACAACTCACACCTCACTGGCTTATACCACACAACTCACGACTCACGACCCACGACTCACGACTCACGACTTACGACTTACGACTTACGACTCACGACTCACGACTCACGACTCACGCCTGACGGCAACAGCTGAGAAAAAACAGCTCTCGCAAGAGATGAGTTTCTGCTAAGTGATTGGCCCTTGGTAATACTTCAGACACTTAACACGAGTAGGCAATATGCGACGAACACATGACGAATGGTTAGAGCCCTATATATTTATGTATAGCATCATGCGAGCACAGAATAAACGGCGATCAACAATATCTTAATAACTCAGGAGACACGTAATGGTGTTGCGTAGGCTTATTTATCCAAGTAGTGTGGCGCCGGCTCTATATCGCTACTATATTAATCGACCTATTGGGCCTGGGTCCATTGTAGAGCCATGTGGTGAGATGGATGGTGTATGAAATCGGTAAAGAATCAAGTCTAGATACTTTTCAGTCTGCGAGAGCCTCGAACTTGAAACGGGATGGTCTGCAGTGTCTACGGGAATATTGGTAGGATGAGGCTGAGCTTGGAGGAGGCTGAGTTGTGTAAGGAGACTCAACGAATACGTCATGACAATTTATCGCTAATGACAAAGCTATATGCATTCTCTTGGCGCGGCTTATGATAAAGCCTTGTACCCATGCGTGAGGGCCGTTGGTCAAGAGATTGCAGGCACTTCTCTCGGACTCCCTATCGCCCTACATTCTTTTCCATGTCGTCAACTCGAGTCAGAGCCGTACAAATGCAGCATTGTCTAGTGAGAAACTGCCTCGTACGCATTATACCTGGGCCTGAAATATGGCCGGGTACGACTCATGACCACATCCAAGCCGAGAGTTGCATGAGGGTAGCAATGATGGAGATATCCGAACCTTGATCGCTCCACCACCTGTTTCTATAAGAGATGGAATCCGTCGCCGATGTAGAACCATAGAGTCCTCGTCCAGTTCAAGTCAAACACTCTTTTATTTGGCCTCTTGAGTGCTATCCATTGATTTTTTTTCCTAACCATTCCGACAAGCAACCCGCAGCCGCAATGAAGTCGATCCCGATTGTCTTGGCCGGCCTGGCTGCCCTCGCCGCCGCCCGCCCTCCGACCAGCGAGGAGCTATGTGTCGGCTTTAACGGCGATATTGACGCGTGCCAGCGCGAGTCCAAGGTCTGCTTTGACGAGATCGAAGCCAAGAAGGAGCTTTTTACCTGGACCAAGCTATTCAAGTGTACCCAGGCCCGCCGTCCCTCCGCGTCAAGCAGCGCCGCTCCTCCTGATGCTGCTGCTCCTACTACTACGCCTGAGGATAAGCCCGCGCCGCCTCAGGATGGCATCGCCGACGTCGACGGCAAGCGGCCCCCTCGCAGCCGTCCGAC